TTTTTCCTGCTGAGGATTGAACCCAGGGCCTTGTACTTGCAAGACAAGCACTCTACCAACTGATCTATACCCTCACCCCCACATTCTTTTTAACATTTTAAGTAAAAATAATATGGCAATTTATAAATGTAGAGACTATGTGCCATTTCATTAGCAGTGGGGCTTTTCATCTGTACATAGAGAACAACATGTCATCCTTTGAAGGTGGCAATTTGAATTGTGGGTTTTGTGTGAAAACTAATGGTGGACATTTGTGGGCCTGAGGATTTTTTTTCCTGTGCTGGGGATTGAACCTAGGGCCACATGTCCTAGTGCTCTACCCCTAGGCCACAGTACCTTGAAGGATTTTGTAATAAGAGATTCTTGGAGACAGAGCTTATTATTCAGTGTGAAGTGATGAAGGGCTAGAGCCTTCTTCTTTAATAGCACTCAAGTGTGATACTTTTTAGAGACTTTTCTTCATGGCTACTGTTTTATCAGGAATGTGTGGTTGCAAATGATCAGATTCCAGGTTGACTTTGGCTTTATCCTAGTATTTTTCTAAATAAATGATAGAAGAAATAATACTGGCATTATTAATGAATAATTAATATTGTTAAATATTAAAATATTAATAAATAATAATCTTGCATTATTTTTCATTAAGAAAAAGAAGCCTTGCTAAACACTACATTCATGGGAATGCATAATGGTAAGTGCTTTATATATCATAAAAAAACAAGATACAATGAATTTTATTTTATTCAAATTTTAATTAGCCCTAGCAATCAGTATTCTCAAAATTATAGCCTCAAATCTGTAACTATTTTTACGTGATGCTGAGCATCTAACCCAGTGCCTCACCCACACTAGGTGAGCACTCTTACCACTGAGCCACAACCCCAACCCTAAGCCTCAAACCTCACTGTAAAAACTACTACTGCCAGGCGGTGATACACGCCTGTAAACCCAGTGGCTCAGGAGACTGAGGCAGCAGGATCATGAGTTCAAAGCCAGCCTCAGCAAAAGCAAGGTGATAAGCAACTCAGTAAGACCCTGTCTCTAAATAAAATACAAAATAGGGCTACTAGTATAATAAATGATCCCTGAAACTATGTGAGGCCTTTTTTTAATAACTTGGAGAGGGTGGTACTGGGGATTGAACTCAGGAATAGTCTACCACTCACTACATCCCCAGCCCTATTTTGTAGAGAGGTTCTCCGTGGCTTGCTTTTACTGAGGTTGACTTTGAACTCATGAGATCCTCTGCCTCAGCCTCCCGAGCAGCTGGGATTATAGACTTGCACCACTGCGCCTGGCTTTGGAGTGACATTTTGAAGGAGGCAATTGTTATGTTGGGTTGTCACCAAGGGGCATGGATAACTGCCCACCTATTGATTAGTGTGTTTTCCTCTATGCGCACCTATGTAGGAGGTGCTTCCATATGTCACACAGCTTCTCTACAGAATCAGACCTTTCACAGAGGAGCAAGGAGTCCCAAAGCAGCAGATGAAGCTGGGATGAACGCAGCTTAATCTTCTGACTTTAGGACTGAACTTGACATACCATGGGTGGATCTAGCTCATGTTTTAACTCTACCCCATGCTTCTTGGACACACAGCTTAGGCTTCCAAGATACTGCAGAGAAGGTTACCTGTGCCTGTCACATGGTAGGTATTCTAAAAATGCGCCAGTAGGTGGAGGAGTTGGAATCGGTCCACTGTTCTCATAACCACATGTGCTTCAGGCTGAAAATGTACTATTCACAGCTCCATTTAATGAAAAATACCTGGTTTTTGAACCATCTTTTCATTTATGATTGTCAAACTGAACAGCACATACCATTATCAGGGAAGTTACACATAGGCTTTTGTGGACCAAGCCACCTAAAGGTGATAGGAAAACATGTCCCATGGCCATGGGAAGAAGTAGCTTTTGACATTTCCCCTAAACTGCATCCTGATTGATTTTTTTCATTTGAAATTCTGCCTACAACTGCCTGTGAAAGGAAACGTACTGAGATGTTTTCCCCCTAAAGTTTATATATTAGCAATATTTTTCTAAACTTTACAATTACATGCCAAGATGAAGGTATATACAATTGCAGGTTTATATATAGCTTAATTTTAAGGGGATTTTAATTATTTGAAATTAATGTGGCTGTCCTGATGCTAACAGATTACATCATAGTTACAATTTATTTAATTCATTAAACTTCCTTTTTACATCTTACAGTCTGTTGGTCTGTAGGTTTCATATTCCCTCAGTGCAGTACCTGAAGCTAGCTGCATATTACATGCTTCTATAGGATTTGCTCCTGTGAAGGGAGGGTGAAAGTATAAAAAGGGCATCCTTGGAATGAGTGAAATCTCAGGGTATGTAGTGAAGGAATACAATTGCATGTTTGGATTATACCTCTGCTCCCTAATTTCTGATAATATGCTCTCTTAGAGGGAAGGCCCAGTGGCCTAATGGAGTACACCTGTTGCCAACTATCCTTGCTGGCAGCCTAATGCTGGGTTCAATAACCCAGAGATCTCTGACCTTAAGAGTCCTTGGAAAGAAAGCCAGTGGAATTCTTTATTCTTATACAGGGAACACAAGGGGAGATTCCTTGGAACATTATAACCCAAAAAGGACAGAGAGGTAGGATTACAAAAGGACAGGTGAGTGTAGCTCAATCCCTCTGGGTGCCGCCTGCTCCTAGGGCTACACCTTGTTAGCCTTGTTTTGAGCAAGGAATAAGCTCAGTCATGGCACTACCGCATCAGACTACAGTGGTCTTTCAGATCCCCTTGGTGCATTGGGACTTAAAGGTGCATGCATTTGGAGTGGCTCCCTCCACACACAACCAACCCCTTCAGCTATCAGGGCAGAAAATCAGAGGCACTGCTTTAAGCTGAAGAACATCTTCCCATAAAATACAAGGTGGTTGACGGCATAAAGACTGAGAACTCGGGCAAGAGGCTGCCTATTTCCAATTCCAACTCACAACTCAGAATGTGAAATGCTTAGGACAGAGATCAGCATACCCTAAGTGTTCAGTAAGTATTATCTGTCATTACTGTAAACAGAAATAAGTGGATTTGTCTTACTAAAACAATACAATTTCACTTAATTCCCATGAATAAATTTATTCACGTACTACAATGTCATTTATGTAATGCAAATGTGCCATTCTTCAAATAGAACCAACTCCCTCCAACATAGTCAAAAATTAGCAAGACAATAACATTTTATCAAATTTGCATATCTCTAATTTTTATTTTAAATAATTTAAGAGTAGGCTGCTGACAAAGTGATCTACTTTTTTGTTTTGTTTTTTGGTACTAGGGATTAAAACCAGAGGTACATTACATACTGCTATGTCCCCAGTCCATTTTTTGTTGTTGTTTAAGGCAGAGTCTCACTAAATTGCTGAAGCTGGAGTCAAACTTGTAATCTTTCTACCTCAGCCTCCTGAACTAGTAGGATCACAGGCATGTGCCACTGTGGGGGGGCAAGGTGATATATTTTAAATATTTCCTAAGAACAATGGTATTACCACCACCACAGAACGATTTCATAACAATCAAAAACAATACTACCAGTCACAGTGATACATTCCTATAATCCCAGCAACTCTGGAGGCTGAAGTAAGAGGATCACAGGTTTGAGGCCAGCCACAGCAATTTAGCAGGACCCTGTCAAAAAATAAAAAGGGCTGGGATGCAGATGATTGGTAAAGTGCTCCAGAACCAAAATAATTTAGTTTTTCAAAAATTTACTATTACCTAATCTTCAGACACTCAAATTTTACTAATTGTCTCAATAATGTTCTTAATAACAAAAGTAAAAAACATCTGTTTCAGGATCACAAAATGCATTTAGTTTTCATGTCTCACTAGTCTCCACTTTAGAATATCCTCAGTCTTTTCTCATTTTTCATGACTCACGTTTTTCACTAGTGAAAGCCAGTTGTGTAAAATTCCCCCCATGTGCATTTTCCTGAGGTCTGCAACTGAGTCTTAGTACACAATTTCGGCAGAAACACCATGGAAGTATGCTGTTTCCTCAGTGCATCATATCAGAAGGCACAGATGTTGAAATTGCTTTACAGGCAAACCAAAGGAGCCAGATTTAAAAAAGGCTGCTCCATCAGACCGATGGAGTGGACAGAAGGAGGGTGGGAGCTCTACCAGACTGAGATTTTATGGAGCTTAGGCAGGAAGGGAAGGACTTGGGACAGGAAAAGGTGTTTTTAGAGTCCCTTATCCCTCTGGAGCTGGTGGGGGGAGGGGGGAAGCTGGCTGAACTCCAGGGTTGGCCAGGGGGGTCCTGCTGATTGACAGGCATTACTCAGGAGATCCTAATGATTGACAGATGTTTCTTTCCCGCCTGGGCTGCTTTGTTCTAAGTCCTGATAGCAAGCCCATTTACCGCCTGAGTAAAGAGGTTCTGGAGGCTGGGAAGTTCAAGATTGGCCACTTGGGCTGGGGATGTGGCTCAAGCGGTAGCGCGCTCGCCTGGCATGCGTGCGACCCGGGTTCAATCCTCAGCACCACATACCAACAAAGATGTTGTGTCCGCCAAGAACTAAAAAATAAATATTAAAGATTCTCTCTCTCTCTCTCTCTCTCTCTCTCTTTAAAAAAAAAAGATTGGCCACTTGTTAGGGCTTCATACTGCATCATGACATGGATGGCATCCTGATGGGA